AGAATTGTTTGGAATGCTGTAATGCCAGAATATTTGTATATTTGCCATGTTCACCATAAGTTTAACTTTTATGGTAGACTTGAGACCTGAGAGGTACTCTGTGAGCGCTAAAGCGAGAATTGAAGGACTAAACCTACCTCAGATTTAATTACATATTTATGTGAATTTTATTTGTAATTATCATCGTACAGGTTTGGAAGACCCCCGGCTTAAATTTGAAGCCAGAGAGTTGTTATGGATGATGGAGGTTTTCATGGTTTTCCTCAGTCTTCGAGAAAAATGTTGGATTAGTAACTTAAACTAGTTTGTGGCTAATTTCTCCCACATCCCTCCCAAATATTTGTTCACATAAATTTACAATTTCAGTGGCATTAATCTCAGCATTTGATTCCACATCAACTACAGTCTCTTTAGCCTGCAAATGGTTACATGTATTTTTGGCATACTCTAGCACCTAAGTAGAAAATAAAATAGTTATTCTTGCATTTCCAGCCCTGTCTTTGAACAGCTGGTATTGTCAGCTTTTATTGATTTGCAGTATTTGCTCGATATATTTATTGACAATCATGTGTATGTGTCGAAGATTGACATCCCTGTTTGAGGGCCTTCCTGTGTTAATAGTAGTGCTGTTGGGTAAAAGAAGAAGTACAGCTTCCCTAGCTGTCGTTTACCAGTGTTTACAAGTCACATCTCGTGTTGTAAATATAGCATGTTAAGCATGGCTGATAATGCCTGCATCTTGAATCACAATGGCAGCTGTAGAGGAATGGTGTGTTCTTTGTAAATCTCAGTTGAATCTTGGATGAGATTAATTTTATTTGTTGAATTGTAGTTAGGAATAAATATGTTATGATATTAGGATTGGCCTTCTTTTAAAGCATGCACTTAATGATAGAGAAACTCCTTCACACTTTGATAGCCATATTATCCTAGTATGTAGTTGTTATAACCTTCAGTTCTTTTCCATTGCCCAGTCTCCACTCCATCGTTTACCTCCTTAAGGACTCTTTTACTTAGGGTACACGCGGAGAACACCAAACCTTCAGAGTGTAATGACATCTAATAGATATTTTTTAAGCTTGGAGTTTTTGTTTGATTTGGGTTTTCTTTGCGTGCATGTGTTTTGTTTTCATTAGTACACAGATTAGTTTGAAGCAAGTGTTGGTATAAGAAGTGTGTGGTTTAGAAGCAGAACTAATTCTATTACTGTGGACATCCTTATCTGTGTTTGATGATGGTGATAATAATAATATAAGTGTTAGATACAACATTTTAATCGGTGAAGACCCCGGTATGCTTCCACTAGTTGTATAATAGACTTGGCGATTTATTAAACTAAGGTATCATCTTGCCTTGACTGTGTATACGCGGTAGATTATGTAAATACGACTTGCCAGCATAGGAAGAAGCTGTAAGTCGATCTTTTGAACGTTTTAAAAAGAATATTAGGTGACAGTGACTGAAGTATATGCCATTAGCGAGTGAGATCCGTAAAATTATGTGTTTTTGCTGTTTGGTCGGGATTAAGCAGATTTAATTGTAATGACCTGAAACTCGATGTTAAAGGTAATTATCTGTGTTGTAAGGTTTTTCGGTAACGTCTAGACCTAGAGGAAAATAGCAAAGGAACAATATCAACAAACAGGCTTACAGCCGCGAGGTTGAGTTTATGAACGTGATTGCAGTTTATTACGTCATGTTATGAAATACTTGTATATCTCAGGCCTATATATTGATAGTTCGAAACTTCACACCGGTGACTTCAGTTGTAAAAACTTGCCTTTTTAAAACTGAGTTTCTCACAATCCTTAGTTCGTATTTCTGTTTTTGATGAAGCCTCGTGTTATAAATTCGATTCTTCCCTTCTTGCTGTAACCTTGACACGTATTTATCGTCCGTTTTATTTTTATACTGAAAAAATCACGGTAATGCTGAAAGAATACGTCATACACATTAGCATCTGCTATGATTTTGACGACGCCATTCTAGTCTGCCTTGAAGTTGGACAAAAAGTGTAATGGGTCATTAATATTGAAGCTGTCTGCTATATGGCTTTCCTTCCACGTTTTAATAATCCTGCGGATGTCAGGGCTGTGCTGTTTATCTTTACGATAAAAGACAACTTTTGCTTGCTGGAACTGTGAACTGCCAGTAAACACCGGAATTAACTTTGCATTCTATAGGTTATATACGCGATATCTCATGGTAATTTCTGCTCCTGTTCGTGAAGATACGCCAAGTATCGCTTGTGAGTGCTCGCGTTTTTGCTAATGACAATAACGAATTAAATTAGATTATATCTTTATTGTGAAGCTGGTAGTTTCTCACCTGCTAAAGCAATTCCTCAGTTTTATAAAATTCGAAGGTTTGTTACCGTGTTGACAAAAACCTGCCGTTTTCAGGTAATTTGATTCAGTCCGTAGAAGTATAAATGTTCAGTACAAACGACGGAGTTGCCATAAAAGATTGCTGGTGTATAACATTTAAACGTTTATGGAATACGATAAAATAGAATAACAGAATACATTATTACTTTCGAATAGCAGCCTTTTTTTATTTTTAGTGCACTGTATCGACTTCAGCAACGTCTGCAGCTCGGAATGTACATCAAACTTACAAACACAGAACGAACTTTGTCGATACTCCTTATAGGCCTAGATCCAATATCAGGGTTGCAGTTTTAGTTTGTTACATAAGTTTCCTTCCCACTCTTCGGCCTGTGGCTGGCGGAGTAACCTGATTACTACAGATTAAAAATAAGTTGTTTATACTGGGTGTTCCATTTAAAAATCAAACTGAACTCCTACATTATTTGTATTCTTATAACAACAATATAATAGGACAAAAGTTTCTTGTCTTTCTTTGGGAAAAACGTACAGAACAGTTTACACCAGATGATGAAAATGTCCGCCACCTTCTGAAGGACAATCATCCTCCCTTTTTACTGTGTTTCGTGCAAATTTGCGAAGTATTTCTGGGTAGAGTGATGAGCTTATGTTGCTGAGGTAATGGGTATTTTGTTTCATATGACGAGCAAGTTTATGAATATTGACAAAGGGCGCGATATATGTTGATAAATATTTTATTGGTTACCAAACTGCGGATCACATCTTAAAAATTTCAGTTTACGAAAATGTGATCTAGTTACTGATCTGAATAGCGAGTGACCCATCCCTTTTAGGCCCAGCTTTGTTTTCTTACTTTGAATAGCATACGTGTTTAAGTTCACAGTTTACTTTATAGGGAACGCACTTGTGTAAAATGTACACTACGCCTTGTTTTTACATGAAGCTGGCAGTATAGTTTGTTTTCAGCATATTTGTTTTAACATCTTCTGAGTAGCTTTTGGGACATGGGTTATGTACATTTACCTTCACTTAACATTAGTTAAACACCTGGAATGACAACCTTTCTGTCCCCCGGTATCGATTGTTATGTAATCTTTATCCCTTCGCGTTTGAAGTAAAATCCACCAAGAGGACGATGAGCCCTTTCCCCAGGGAAGAGATTTCGGTTGTTCCTCTGTACTTCTGCCATATTCGGTCATCTACCTGATGACAGTCAAGTTCTACTCGCCGTCGTGAGAATCTGAAATCTCATCTCCACTTATGTATATTCGGGTGTTGCATTTACTGTGGAGTGACGGACGAGTGCTGCTGTATTTATTGATTTGACTCAATATTTTGACTTGTGTACTGCGTGTTATTAATGTAGGCCTAAGAATTTTTCATACCTGTCAAGATCACTCGCATATCCCATATCATTTTGCGGAGCTCCGGCAAAGACTTTAAATTATCATCGCTATAAAAAAAAACTACTCAAGATATTTACGCTTGGATGGGAGGATATTAAAATGGATCATGCGAATGTAAACTGTGGTAAACTAAGGATAGTGTCCAGTGGCGGGCTTTTGTGGTCGTAGCTATGAAACTTTGTTTCCAAAATAGGGAATGGTTTAGTCTGCTAAGTAACCATCAGCAGCTCAACGAAGATCCTACGATGATGTTGCCCTTTATATAAAGCTACACTTCGTGAAAGAGTAGTTTGATTTCTTTTTTTAACCTGACCTGACCTTTTAATCAAATATTCACATATCGGCTGAGTACGAAATAAGTTTAGAGAAACGGCCAGATATGTAGACGCATTGACTGTATGTATGACGAAAGATTTTCGATTGAAAGTTGGTGCAGTTACTAGCTGATCAATACATTATCTGCTTGTATGGAACTCGAATGCCGTTATCGTGTTGAGAAGAGCCCATAACTGGATCGTATCCTCAGTCGGTTTAGTCCATTCCAGTACACGTTCTTTTTCCTGCACCTTGTTGTCTTACCCGATCTTTTCCCTTCAGTCTTTCGACCACAATTCTGTAAGAATTTCGTATTCCCGATGTCTGCTACATATGCATTAGAATGAGGGATCCGTCAAGAGTAACATACAACACTGACATACAGTTTCGTGGGCAGACGATATATTTCTGGCTGCACTGTAAGTAACTTTGTTTTCTGAAATAGACATTTTTCTTCACCCAGCGTCCTAGATACTAAACGTAGGACGCTCGATGGGCCACATGTAAGCTGTTTTCCCGCGGTTAGGTGGTAGTCGTTATGATAATAAAATATAATAAATACCACGGATATTAATTTAAACTGAATGAGCCATGTGGCTTTCTACGAGCATGGTGCGTCCATTACAAAATTTGTCAAAAGGCAACATCAACTTTGGGCACATCAGTTCTTGTATATATTTTCGGCACGTTTCACTTACCTTCTGTTTCCTTGTCACCTCAATAATATTCCTTGTTCTTCTGAGAAAGGATACGGTTAGGAACGTGAGAGGTACGTGGAAAGTCACACAGAAAGTTGTTGGCCGTAGTCTAATGGGAAAGAGATTGGCACAAATGTATTGCCCACTGTCTGATTGCCTTCCGAAGGTAATTCAGCGTTCTGTCAGGTCAGGCTAAAAGGGAGATAGGATGGGGCGTGTAATATCAATAGTAATCACATTTAACGATCTTTAATGAGGTTTCCGAACACGTTTCGGTTTTAAGACCTTGCTGACAATGTATACTTTTCAAGTAACAACAAAAATGATTTTGCCAATATTTATTAGGTTGCAACATTCGAATATTTGGTTCATTTTGTATAGGCAAATGAAGCTCTCTTAAGATTCTTACGTCTTTAAGATATCCAGTTCTTTGTCCACGCCGTGGGACCGATATGAATTTGTTTTTGTAAGAGCATTGTGTCAACGATGCTCGAATGTTCTATGCGTCTTGCAGGACAATGACGTGGCTGCTTCAAAGAAATTTTGGCTGTTTTATGTTTGCGATATTTCACTCGATCGTTTCGAATCTCCGTTTGTGTACCTCTGTATTTGTACTGGTCACATTAGCATATTCTGTAGACGTTTCCCGCCTTTTAGTCTGTGCATATAGTTCTTATATTCCGTAAAAACGAGAAACAAGCCAAGATCGTGCTGGCTATAACACCTTGTTTGCCCAGAAGAATAAACCGAAGGCGCCTCGAAGTTCGCGTGACAGCCATATTGGTGTATTACGACATGCAGTTTCATTCAGACAAAATATTGTTATCTTTCTTTAAACATTTAATGTATTAACGTCATATAAAGGCGGATCTGTGGTTTGGACTGGCGCCATACTGTTCTAGTTTGAGACAGAAATTACTGTAACATAATTTACTTCATTTTCAAAGACGTTTCATACAGTTCATACGAAACCAAGTTCTCTCCACGTCAAACAAAGCATGGTCGCATCTTGGTGCCGCTCGTGCGACGACGTCTATGTTGAAATTGGTATACTTACACACAGTAATTACACATTTGTTGTACATTTTTTAAAAATAATTTGGCGTGGGTTGTTGGGATGTGTCCGTATGTGTCTATCGTGGAGTTCTGAATGAACGAATTTTGATGAAATTGTAGATCTAGAATTTTACAATTAAAATACAGTCACAAATACTCGTTTCCGTTTCTTTCACTTATTAATAATATAGTATATATTTTTTGGATAAAAGTAGACTATAAAAAATAACCCGTCTTACGCAAACCTACGTTGTTTGGGATTATCTTTCAGTGAACCGTTCTATTCTCTTTTAGGAATTTAACTTTATGTTTTTAGCTTAAATGGTATGTCTATGAGCCGTTTTAAACACCTGTCTTACCGTTCTTGTCTCCTCAAAAGAAGCAAAGGCAAAATCATATACAATAAATAAATAAATCAATAATATGCCTAGGACACGCATTTATGAGAACCAGCAGTCATCTTTCTACTTCGTATATTTAACGTGACTAATTGATCTATGGTTGTTATATTACTGTGTCATTTGATCCTTGAATAATATGGTTTTGTAAGGCCAGGTAAATTACATCATGTAATTTAAGATGGATGTGAGTTACATTTAAACAATGATATTAGCAAAATATGGCCGTATTTATGCAGTTATCCGTATAAAATTGTAGGTACCCATAGATCGGTCGGTTCTGGTAGGTAATGTCTTGTTCGCTGTACCTCGACCCAAGCATCATCTTGTTACTGCTGCTGGAGCCGAGACTTTTTCCTGCAGCTGTAAAGCAACAAACAAATATCATTAGAGCTACCAAGGTGATTACTTTACAAACCTTGAAGGCAGCATTTTACGTAGGACCCATGACGTATCCTTCCTCAGTTTCGGGGCGGAGGAGACACACGACCTGTGTTTGGAACACTTAAACAGTGGGGTTGGGCAAGGGGGCTGACAGTCTCAAACCGAAAAAAAAAGTATACAGGCGCATTTGGCGAGAGGAATTATACACGACATGCTAATATCCGTGCTTTTAAAATTACTTAAAAGACAATATAGGCGCTGCTAGAAGGGGATATGGCGAAAGATGATGACTCAGATGCAGTTATTTACGTTAGCTGATATTTATTCATACTGGCGATAAGGCAAAAGTATATACCGAACCAATAATAAGCAATACGAAGGCTTAAGTGTTCACTGTTACTACACACACTGGAAGAATATTTAGTATTAGACCTATAGGTGTAACTTGAATAAAAATTTCCTTGGATATTTTCCACTGTCTAAGAAATGATAACATAGAAAACGACGTTTCGTATCACTGTCGTTACTTCTTTCTGTTTCCAAAAATGTTGTTAATCTTTTAAATTTTTTTCTGAATTTTAATGCATAATAATATGCATAAGCACAGAGAACAAGAGTGTGAAGAATGTGAGCGTGAGTTATGCATGTGTGCAGACATCTTTACAACACGTGATGTAATGTGTCGTGCGATTTTGATTTGTGTTTTAGTGTGCCCCCACGTTGGTAAGGTTCAGAAACACAGTACGCGATCATCTTCAAGTATTTTCGATAAAATTTATGGCGTCTTGTTTCATTCGTTACGATTCGGCGTCAAATGAATTTGTACTATGTTAGAAACGAGCGTGTAAGAAATATAACAAAAAATCACGAGGAAAATACTATTATTTTTTTCGTGCATATTCGCGAAAAGCCTTGGAAAATTTCGATCCTATGGCGTCGCTTTGTTTTTATTAGAAATTAAGGTGATATTCCTATGATATTTTATAGTCAGTAAAAATATTAATTGAACACTTACGTTCTCCATTTTCTTTGTGGTTCCCGCGGTCAGTCAGCTGCATTGGTGGTTAGGTTACAAGACGCTTAGCCAAGCGATTATGAGGTGAAGTGCAGTCCTGCAATTATAAACAGGGAAGCTGTTTACACCAGTAGTTTCCAAGGTGTGGGTTATATGTTGATAGTCATTAATTATGGAAACCGATCTATTATAGGGATATGTATTCTTTTGTTCGCCACCACGTTCATAGCGGATCTTTTCCAGAGTGTAAAGCGGACGGAGCTTGAAGCTGACCGCTGACCTCTGCTGCTTAGGCAAAAGACAAATTTACCACCTTGTGTAATTAATGATGTCATCCTACCAACGTAGTTCACTTCTCAGTGCATTTGAAGAAGGCTGTCTTCTGGGTTATAGCGCCGTGTGGTGTGGTAAATGTTTACCGACGTTTCTGAGGTGCTTGCTTCTTCCATTATCAGGGCGATTCATCGCCCAGACTATATGGCGCAACAACCTAGAATACAACCATCTTCGAAACTATATAAGATTTGAGGTTTTCACGGCGATGAGTTTGAAGATGGATGTCTTCTGGGTTGTTGCGCCTTGTAGTCTGGTAGAAGTTTACCGACGTTTCAGAGATCCTTGCTGCCTCCATGAGACACTCATCGCCCTGATGATGGAGGCAGCAAGAACTTCTGAAACATTGGTAAATTTCTACCAGACTACAAGGCGTAACAACCCAGAAGACAGCCTTCTTCATCTTCGTACTTACCGCCGTGAGAACCTGAAATCTCACGACAGAAAAAATTGTTGCATCCTGTAGGTCGAACATTTGTAGACACATACATCTTAAAACTGGTCCAGTTGCTGGACTGCGTTTATTAATGTGAAAAGTGAGCAAATAGTGCGTGTAGAATTACAAGGCCTTCAGCATTAGAGACTTCCACTTCGCTAACGTAGTTACAGGGCCAGCTGGAATTAAATTCGATTGATGGTTATTGTTTTCCAATGTAGACGTCACACATGCACGCCATTTTACTTTTAGACGATAATATTATCGTATATGTAGTAGATACGAGCAGATTTCTGTGCAGATAACGTGTTAGATAATTCCCGTGCTGGTTTTAAATAGAGAATATGCAATAGTTGATTGTGTGTGAAGGAGATAAATTGTATAATATCAGCGTTTTAATCGTTTACACGATGTGCACGGGATATCTTGCACAGAGATACTGAGCCTTTTGGTCTGAACTTGTTAGATGACTGACAAGATCAGCGAAAGAATTCTCTCCAGAAGTCTCTGAACAGTTAAAGCTGCTAGTGGAATTTTAACAATAGAAATTATACTTTGCCATGGAAATACATCAACAGAGCAAGGTTTCGTCTTCTTCTTTTGTGCTGTCAAGGTTTAAACCTTTGGGGCCTATTCCTCGTCTCGTCGCTGATTCGACAACCACCTGCATTGTGTTGCTCTCTTAGGCAGTCTACTATCTTCTGTCTCTTCCGAGTGGGCCCTCCATTGCCATCGATATTTCTTAATATCCTCTACTATGTCAGCTGTAAAGTTCTCTGATTGTTTCTTCGCCAACAGAAGTGAACGTAACAAGATTAAAACCCTCCCGTCTGTAACAGTACGCTAATACGTATACACAGTTCTTAGTCTGGCTTAGAATCTTCGATGGAGCTCCGGTTATACTGACTTTTTCTTGATTTTATTAAGTTGTCTTATTTTATAAGAAAAGCTACGTTTATATGATATACGACCCCTCATAATAAGATTTGAACCCACGTACTTTTCCATGAAACTGGGAATGAAATCATGCCACGTGTTAATTTACTACCATGGGACTTAAAGACGTAGTGGGAGAGTGTGGATTGGATTTATCTGGCTCAGGATTGTGATATTAAAACTCGCAAGTAACTGGTAGAGTAGTTATGATATCTTGTTAGTGTCTACAGATTTCCGATGCAGTGATGTGATATTGTGTCTGCTTAAGGAACATAAGAGAAATTGTTACGAATACGCTGTTGTAGCCTATACGTGATAAGCATTGCAATAATAAAGTGCATGAAGATTTCTGTCTTCTGGGTTGTTGCGCCGTGTAGTCTGGTCGAAGTTTACCAACGTTTCAGAGGTCATACTGCCCCCGTCATCAGGGCGATGAAGATTTCTGTCTTCTGGGTTGTTGCGCCGTGTAGTCTGGTCGAAGTTTACCAACGTTTCAGAGGTCATACTGCCCCCGTCATCAGGGCGATGAAGATTTCTGTCTTCTGGGTTGTTGCGCCGTGTAGTCTGGTCGAAGTTTACCAACGTTTCAGAGGTCATACTGCCCCCGTCATCAGGGCGATGAAGATTTCTGTCTTCTGGGTTGTTGCGCCGTGTAGTCTGGTCGAAGTTTACCAACGTTTCAGAGGTCATACTGCCCCCGTCATCAGGGCGATGAAGATTTCTGTCTTCTGGGTTGTTGCGCCGTGTAGTCTGGTCGAAGTTTACCAACGTTTCAGAGGTCATACTGCCCCCGTCATCAGGGCGATGAAGATTTCTGTCTTCTGGGTTGTTGCGCCGTGTAGTCTGGTCGAAGTTTACCAACGTTTCAGAGGTCATACTGCCCCCGTCATCAGGGCGATGAAGATTTCTGTCTTCTGGGTTGTTGCGCCGTGTAGTCTGGTCGAAGTTTACCAACGTTTCAGAGGTCATACTGCCCCCGTCATCAGGGCGATGAAGATTTCTGTCTTCTGGGTTGTTGCGCCGTGTAGTCTGGTCGAAGTTTACCAACGTTTCAGAGGTCATACTGCCCCCGTCATCAGGGCGATGAAGATTTCTGTCTTCTGGGTTGTTGCGCCGTGTAGTCTGGTCGAAGTTTACCAACGTTTCAGAGGTCATACTGCCCCCGTCATCAGGGCGATGAAGATTTCTGTCTTCTGGGTTGTTGCGCCGTGTAGTCTGGTCGAAGTTTACCAACGTTTCAGAGGTCATACTGCCCCCGTCATCAGGGCGATGAAGATTTCTGTCTTCTGGGTTGTTGCGCCGTGTAGTCTGGTCGAAGTTTACCAACGTTTCAGAGGTCATACTGCCCCCGTCATCAGGGCGATGAAGATTTCTGTCTTCTGGGTTGTTGCGCCGTGTAGTCTGGTCGAAGTTTACCAACGTTTCAGAGGTCATACTGCCCCCGTCATCAGGGCGATGAAGATTTCTGTCTTCTGGGTTGTTGCGCCGTGTAGTCTGGTCGAAGTTTACCAACGTTTCAGAGGTCATACTGCCCCCGTCATCAGGGCGATGAAGATTTCTGTCTTCTGGGTTGTTGCGCCGTGTAGTCTGGTCGAAGTTTACCAACGTTTCAGAGGTCATACTGCCCCCGTCATCAGGGCGATGAAGATTTCTGTCTTCTGGGTTGTTGCGCCGTGTAGTCTGGTCGAAGTTTACCAACGTTTCAGAGGTCATACTGCCCCCGTCATCAGGGCGATGAAGATTTCTGTCTTCTGGGTTGTTGCGCCGTGTAGTCTGGTCGAAGTTTACCAACGTTTCAGAGGTCATACTGCCCCCGTCATCAGGGCGATGAAGATTTCTGTCTTCTGGGTTGTTGCGCCGTGTAGTCTGGTCGAAGTTTACCAACGTTTCAGAGGTCATACTGCCCCCGTCATCAGGGCGATGAAGATTTCTGTCTTCTGGGTTGTTGCGCCGTGTAGTCTGGTCGAAGTTTACCAACGTTTCAGAGGTCATACTGCCCCCGTCATCAGGGCGATGAAGATTTCTGTCTTCTGGGTTGTTGCGCCGTGTAGTCTGGTCGAAGTTTACCAACGTTTCAGAGGTCATACTGCCCCCGTCATCAGGGCGATGAAGATTTCTGTCTTCTGGGTTGTTGCGCCGTGTAGTCTGGTCGAAGTTTACCAACGTTTCAGAGGTCATACTGCCCCCGTCATCAGGGCGATGAAGATTTCTGTCTTCTGGGTTGTTGCGCCGTGTAGTCTGGTCGAAGTTTACCAACGTTTCAGAGGTCATACTGCCCCCGTCATCAGGGCGATGAAGATTTCTGTCTTCTGGGTTGTTGCGCCGTGTAGTCTGGTCGAAGTTTACCAACGTTTCAGAGGTCATACTGCCCCCGTCATCAGGGCGATGAAGATTTCTGTCTTCTGGGTTGTTGCGCCGTGTAGTCTGGTCGAAGTTTACCAACGTTTCAGAGGTCATACTGCCCCCGTCATCAGGGCGATGAAGATTTCTGTCTTCTGGGTTGTTGCGCCGTGTAGTCTGGTCGAAGTTTACCAACGTTTCAGAGGTCATACTGCCCCCGTCATCAGGGCGATGAAGATTTCTGTCTTCTGGGTTGTTGCGCCGTGTAGTCTGGTCGAAGTTTACCAACGTTTCAGAGGTCATACTGCCCCCGTCATCAGGGCGATGAAGATTTCTGTCTTCTGGGTTGTTGCGCCGTGTAGTCTGGTCGAAGTTTACCAACGTTTCAGAGGTCATACTGCCCCCGTCATCAGGGCGATGAAGATTTCTGTCTTCTGGGTTGTTGCGCCGTGTAGTCTGGTCGAAGTTTACCAACGTTTCAGAGGTCATACTGCCCCCGTCATCAGGGCGATGAAGATTTCTGTCTTCTGGGTTGTTGCGCCGTGTAGTCTGGTCGAAGTTTACCAACGTTTCAGAGGTCATACTGCCCCCGTCATCAGGGCGATGAAGATTTCTGTCTTCTGGGTTGTTGCGCCGTGTAGTCTGGTCGAAGTTTACCAACGTTTCAGAGGTCATACTGCCCCCGTCATCAGGGCGATGAAGATTTCTGTCTTCTGGGTTGTTGCGCCGTGTAGTCTGGTCGAAGTTTACCAACGTTTCAGAGGTCATACTGCCCCCGTCATCAGGGCGATGAAGATTTCTGTCTTCTGGGTTGTTGCGCCGTGTAGTCTGGTCGAAGTTTACCAACGTTTCAGAGGTCATACTGCCCCCGTCATCAGGGCGATGAAGATTTCTGTCTTCTGGGTTGTTGCGCCGTGTAGTCTGGTCGAAGTTTACCAACGTTTCAGAGGTCATACTGCCCCCGTCATCAGGGCGATGAAGATTTCTGTCTTCTGGGTTGTTGCGCCGTGTAGTCTGGTCGAAGTTTACCAACGTTTCAGAGGTCATACTGC